AACAAAGTGAACTCGTGACATCATCATCTTGAGTGTTGGGATTTTCGAATTCGATCTCGCATCGGCTAAAGTTGACGTCATCGATTTTCTTTCCGTGTAACGAAATTGTGCTGCGTCACAAAAAATTGAAAAATAAAATACTACGATGAATAGTGAAATTAATTAAATTTGTCGTCTACAGTTATTAAACTCATTTACTAGGAACGCGAAATCCTTAATAGACGCGTCAAAATTTATACATTCTTCGACAAATAATAGTGAGTCGTCGTTGCCGAGTGTTTATTGCCGGTAGATTAGCTTACGGAAGTTGGAACAATATCTAGCTGTTGTTGGAATATCAGTTCGATTATCGGCGCAATATATTTTTTTAAATTCGATACTGGAAAAGATGATCATGATAAAGCGCTAATCTATCTACAAAGCCTTGGCGTTATTACCTCTAATGTGCTCTTTCTATTTAATTATTATCTCATTGTAATAAATACCTCTTGTCTTTTTTGAGTCAATAAAAAACACGCTAATAGAATACAAATTTAATATAGCTACAATCTTTAGCGTCTGCAACTATTCCAAAACGAGTTGACGTCCCAGTGAGCAAGATGATAATCCCCGAAAACCAATAAGTAAATTATAAAAGTATTTACTAGTACACACTACGAAAGCAGATACAACAGACGTTCCGACCGGAAAATAGACAGCATTCCGTTGTCATCGTAGCCATGAAAGCCCTCTCTGTTTTGTCAAGGAAATGCTAGTTGAAGGAAACCGAAGCATCCCTTTAAAATTTTTGCTCAGCTGGCTTGCAAAATTTTCGTTTCTCTTGAATTATACTATCTTCAACAATTCGTTCTGAAAATATATTTAGCTTCGAACGTGCCCATGATCAAAAAACTGCAGTTTTTTTACATTGAGTTTTCAGTGAAGTGGCACCACTTGCACGATTAATAGCAAGCGCGCACGCAGCATGTGGTCACCAGGGCCGCAATTGCGGAAACCAGGTGAGCTAATAATAATAACAGCCCAACGCGTCTTTGGATTTTAACACGAATAATAAGTGACTTTATAATTTCGATAAGTAAATTCATTGCCAAAGCCTCGCACGTGGCAATCGCGTTGATTATGTAAGAACATCAATAAGCAGCAGGTAATAATCCAGTCGTATATGACGGATGGGATAGGCCTCATTATACATAATAGACCACATAAATTAAATTATTTATTCAAATCATAATAATTCCAATTATCATCAAGTACAACATTAATTATAAAAAAATACAAATTATCTACAAATTAATAAAGTTTGGTTTGATTTGGTTTGGTTTTTTCTCTTTGATATTCCTTTTTCCCCACATTGTCCGTTATTTAAACATTTAAAAGCTTCATAAAAATCTCTTGATTCTTTGTAAATTCAGGTAACTTGCCCAACGCACCAACCCATTCTTTCAACTTTGGCTCTTCCATTCCTTCAAATTCTCTGCTCTTTCCGTTTACTGACACTCTTTTAATCAGCATCGCCTCATCCTCACTTGCAAACTCGTCCTCATTCTCGTCCTCGCCTTGGATCGCACAGTTGACACGAAGTTCAGCTCCATATAGCGAAGACGGAAGGTCTTTTGAATCGTTACTATGACGTTCTGGTGAACGGTTCCCAGGAGTAGATGGACGGGACGGAATTACCTTGCGAATAAACCGAGCAGTACGCGAAATTCCATCCATTGCCGCTGGGTGAAAACCAAAGATCTGGAAAACGTGTGGCATAGCGCTGAATGCGTCCAACAGATAAGAATTAGAAAAACGGGAAAGATAAGAGGCAGTAAAAAAAAAAAAAAGCCCAGTATTTTACATAAAATTTTTTTCTTTTTTCTTGTACTTACTCGTACACATGCAAAGTGACTTTGGTAGGCTCATATTCGTGTTGACCGTCAGTATGATCACCTTCAAACAAATCTGAACATGTCTTTGACGCTTTATAAGCAAGGAGAATTGATTCATCGCGCAGTCTTTCAGCATTGCCACACGTCTATTAAATAGAAAAACGGTAAGCAAAAGAGCAATAGGCCTATTATCTTGCGTGTGTTTATCAAGTGTTGTATCCAGAATATACCAAGGCATGGTTTTACTTACCACGTACAACTGCCCAAGCCCGCCTAAATCTTTTGCTAGCAGAGGACTCACGTACGGACAGTCCAGCGCCGAGTTATAC